AGGGCGGCCCGCCGCGGCGCGGCGTTATCCTCGCAGCGCCATGTCGCGAAGAGCGAGAGCGTCCCGCGCAGCGTGAGCCCTCCTGCCTTCGTACAACTCGCGGCCCAGGCACTGGCTTTGCCTTCCTCCCTCCAGCACTAGTCAAGGTAGTGTGCCCGGAGAAAGGGCCTCAGAGACCTTGTGAAGCAAGAAGGGGAAACGACTTAAGGTCTTCCTCCTGCCAAATACTTTTGCGAAAGCCCGACCGTCAAAATTCGAGTGCATCATGGGTTTAGAGCAGTGTCTGTACACACCCTTTTAATTCAGTAATCCTCTAGGGTTCAGTGAAGCTGCCTTCTTGATTCGTAGAACTCATTAAGAACGCACCAACGAAGTTTCAGTTGACAAGCAGGTATTCGTTATTGCAGCGCTGGGAGCCACAGGGATATCTCCTCCTAATGTGTGTCTCATCTAAGCATCAAACAGACTGTGATTATATTGTTGCTTAACATACATATTCATTACATTTCTGATAAATGTCATACACATGCATTAGTTGTCCAAGAATCATTTTACATAATTCCACACCTATTTTCACACGTGCACAACAACGTGGTAGTGGTCTTTGCTGGTCATTTTACTTCTTCCAACAATCTTCATCACTTGGCTGTTCCTTGAACTCTTGTTCTGGAAGTCTTGCATGCGCAGTAGATAGATACATGCTTACACCAGCTTAATTAGTGCACTATTATTACTGACGTAAGCGAGTGATTTCTCCTCATCCTTCTACTTACCAGTTAACTTCACCACAGCACCTCCTGAACATCTGCTGGTTTCAGATACTCTTTAGCTACAGTCCTGTTTTGGTTACAATAAATTTTGTCCAAAGGTCATAAGGTCCTAAAACTGTCAGCTACAACAATTTATCTTATAAAGGATCCTTTTTATGTTCTTTTGGTTGGGCATTTTAGGTTTAGAAAGTTTTGTTGTTATGTACAAAGCCACCAAGCTTAAAGTTACTTAAAACTGAATTTTCTTATTTACAAAGGATTATATTTCATTTTGTACTTCCTTGTCTCATTCTCCACCTTTCTTTGTAACAAATGCCTGAGATGGTACATGAAAATAAAACAGCCAACCACAAACAGGCTTTCAAAAAGTCTCCTACTCACTCTTGGTTTATTCTAGACTTGGGCACAACCATTTTTAGCATCTCCAAACCACACAGCCACCTGTGCAAACAGATGCTAGATTTTCAGATACTCAAAACCCCAAAAGTAATAATATTAATAACAAAAAAATCAGATAAGTGGTAATACGAAGCACTTCCTTTGAAGTCAGGAAGTTTCACCACACACCTTCTGGGGTCCTGGTTTGAAACATAGTAAGCCACTTGAATTTATTTCTATACTGGAATGAGATCCACCACATGATACACGAGGGTATTCACCTCACAAAAATAGAGTACAAGTCATACTAAACATAATGAATTTGTATCATGTTGCAAGATCTTTACAAAGAAAAAAGAAACACAATGGTTACTTTGCTATAAAATACAATTCACATCAACCATAAACACTTCACACCTTTGTCACTGTACTCACACTTTAGTTTTTATTCCCAGGATGACAGTGTATACCCCATTACTCACCTTTTGCTGCTCAGTTATGAAGAATAATTAACTGGGTTTGAGTACACAAATCACTACTCATTTCCTCAAAAGAAGAACCTGTGGTTAGACTGCCAGCAGTGCTTTCACAAACACCGCAATAAGTAGCAGAATTTTTAGACCACCCAGTTCTTAACAACTCCCTTGTGTAAGGTTGTCAGCTGCTTCTTACTTGTTTTAACAGCTTGTATTTTGGATCCTCTTAGCATGACAACACACATTTTCTTCCCTTCTGGCTCAAGCCTCACCAGAATTAACTAAGCTTGAACCATGTGCAAGTTATGTCAATTAAAAATAGAAGTCTAATGGAAATAACACTGTTAAAGTGTAACAGAAAGCAAAGCCATCCTGGAAAGTGAATGAAGGTGAGGTAGGGGAAGGCTTCACCCAAGTCTGTCATATGAGGCCGGAGGATTTCAGATGGCACATATCCCTTCCTTATTTGTAGACGTAACAGAGCACATCAAGTCAGCATGCCACTTCATTTTCTATCAATAGGGGAAACTATTTGTTCACCACAACTTGCTTATTAACAAAGTGTTGCTTAATAAATATATCAATGAATTGGAACAAAGTTGTTCAAGGTAATCAATCCTGCCTTTCTGTATTTTCTGCACCTCAAGGAAAAAAGTGCTTCAGACATTCAAAAAAAAGTAGAGCATTCTCCCATGATTAATAGGGATTCTTTCAGACTGAATATAATGATATTTCAGATTATTTTCTCCCTACCAGTTACTAGTATGTAGAAGTTTATCCATGTCTATATGCATTTAATTGTATTGTAAGCAAAAAAATTTTACCCAAAGGAGTTTTAACTGGGGGGGGGTAAAAGGGGGGGGGGGGGGAAGGAGGGAGGGAGAGGAGGAGGTAAGGGCCCAAATTGCAGGAAAACAGCCTTTCAAGTGTGGCTCTGTGTGTAAACAGTTGGTCTACAGGCCAGAGACCACCATTTGTCAGAGACCTGGTCCAAGTGAGACTGAAAAATTTCACCCTGTAATTACATTCCTTGACTTAAAATCAACATTTCAGCCATTTGTGTGCTTGGAAACATCCCTAACATTACAATTTTCTGATTACAAGCACTAGACATGAAAGACAAAGGCTTTATTTTAAATATAGTCAGGTTTAAAAACAAAGAGTAACTTCAACTTAAACACAAAGCACTTGCACACAAAGCAAGTTACATCCTGCATTTGTCTGTCTAAAATAAGTTTAACAAAGCAAGTTACTTTGGCACATTCTGTAGGTAATTCCATACACAAAAGAACTTCGTATTTAAGGAAATTTAAGTATAGAAGGGGCAGCAGAAAGTTTTGCAGAATACTTAATTAGATGGAATAGCAGCATTGTGTGTCCTGTTCTCAATCTATGTGAGGAAATTAAAGAGATGAAGTGGACTGTGCCCATAGAAGAAAACCCCACATAAGTACCTTTGTGGTCAGTATTCCTTCTGCATTCTGGTGTCACAACCTCAGACTTGCTAGCCATCACTTTGTAGAGAAAAGGGGAGCTAAGGGAATAGCAATTTAAAGACTTACCAAATGAACATACAGCAGGATTATCCAGACCAGATTGACATGAGTACTGAAAGAACTAAAAGTCCTCCCCACCATGTAAGTAATCATCAAGTTTGGAAGCATTGAATGCTTCATTGCTTCTTCCCATCTTGCTCTGATAATAAACAGACAAAAAGTACATTTTCTGTGAAATTCAGAGGGGCAGGAATACTGCTTTACAGCAGCACACGTGATCTGCTTAAATTAGAAGTGCTACCCGTGTCATCAGAACAGAAAATTCAGTGGAACATCACTTGGGCTCTTAAAGAACATGGAAAGCATTGCAGTGGTGCAGCAGCAGACAAAAAGCACACAATTAATTCTACATCATCACAGCAGAAGGCTACAGAACTATCAGCTTTATCTCCATCACTTTTGTCAGTTAGGAGTTACTGATGGAAATTCCTATGGCACAGGGCATCATATGATCAGAAACCTTTTTCAAATGCACAAGAAAGCTATTAAGCCACCTGCAAATGACCCACAAGCAACAGCACTTTACAAAAACTAATTAACACAGAGCCTAAAAGTCATATTTGTGATCCACAGAACTCCTGGAGTTCAAAAGTGAAGTGTTGAAAGACTTTTCAAAAGTTAACTTCTACCAAATATTTATAGGAGGCACATTTGGCAAAAGCAGTATTTTTTAATTTTAATTTATTTCAGCTTTTTACTTTTACAGAGATTAATACAGTGTTAGCATCACAGCCTTGTTTAAACACCCATCTTTTCTAGACAGAGATAATTCAAATGCATCAAGATTTTATTCAGACCAAGTCCGCTGCTTATGACAGAGTAAAATCCTTCAACCTTAAGAGCCTCATTCCCTAATTTTTTGTGATCATTGTCTTAAATAAGCATATCCAGCTTCAGCTTCTGGAAACAGAACTTCTTTCATTTAGAAAAATCATGGTACACGCCTAAATAATCATCAGAGAAACTCCTTAACAATCATGTTACCCTCTTATTGAAGAAACAGTAATTAACAAACAGATCAACATTTAAAACCCCAGGTCCTGAATCTGTTTTGCAGGTGGAATTCAAACCTTAAGATAAGGCTGAGGTTTGTTTATGCTTTATCAGTTGACTTATGTAAATGTACAGCCTTTACAAGGCTCTACTGGCACTTTCACTAGGGTGAAGCAAAGAGGACACTTAATAGATGTCTACATCAGCAGTAAAAAAAAATCCCAACCAACCAAAAACCACTGAACAAGTACCTGTTAAAAATTCCTGTATGAACATCTTTACTGTAGAGCAGAGGTATGACTAGACTTGACTTGGCAAGGAAATTCAGGTACTAGATTGAATCACCATTAATGCATGATAACCTGAGTTGTCCATTTTGTAAAGTAGCCTCCTAAAAGGATGAAGCCTGTAGGTTTGGTTCTCTTTCGACTAAGAAAGTTTTAAAGTGAATTTTAGTGCTCATGAAAAGATGTTCTCCTCCCTGTCTGAGCTGACTGTGAGCAAGCACACCAGTGTGCAGCATGGTTGAGATGAGATTCACTGAAGAACATCACCAACCTGTTTTGCATAAAGCAAAAAGGGAAAACATAGTTGCCATCAACTGGTTCTGCACTGAGTGGCCCTTAAAGATTAAATATAGTTTTATAGACTTAAGTCATAATCCCCTCAAGCAAATTCTTATTCAAGCAATCTAGCATTAAACATTACTTTTGATTGGTTTCCAGTGACAGGATGCACAGAAACCAGAAGTCTCCAAGGAGCTACAAAAAGGGCTTGTAGAGGTGCTAACCAACTTCATCAATCAATTATCAATGTTTAAACACTGCCTATAAACGTTTGTAAGACCCAAGAAGAGTACTGCAGTTTGGACAGCTGTGATCCACATCCTTTAAGGCATCAACGCAGAAGGGAATTAAGCAGCAGCCAGCTACACACCTGCAAAGCAAAACAGAAACAAAATCAATCTCTTTTACCACTTGTTACATACACAGGAAGACAAAATTTTATTTCCTGCAAAAGCCATCAGGAAAACTGGTGCCTTGAAGCTGTAGGAAGAACACACATGGTTACAGAGTCCATAACTAGTGTTCTAAAGCTACTTTGAGATCGTATAGGACTTAATGGACATGTAGGTTATTCAAAACTTAAGGGTCAGGTACAAGACAGAAGGTGACTGCAACAAAGCTGAGAGCTTTGTCACTCCTTAGAGCTATAAAAGGACATGTAAGAAGAGAAAAATGAAGTACAAATTGGAATCAACCTACCCAAACAGGAAGAGGCCACCACATGACAGCCAAGTCAAAGCTCCTGAGTTATATGAGAGACGTGTCACTATTATCTGGTTGCAGGAAGGGCAGCACATCTGAACTGGGCGGTCACAAAATGCTACTGGTTGCTGCACATACACTGTCTGAACTGTAACTGAGCAGAAAAATATGTTATATTCAATGGGTAAATAAGAAAAAAAAGTTAATCAACTTCCTCTGAGCTAGAACCAGCTGTTAACTTAAGTATTTTGAGGCTTAGAGCAATGATACGCAGAGTCAGAAGAGAAATCACCATGGCATTTCCTAATGCAGAAACACACTGTCTTAAGAATAAAGCTGCATTAAAAACTGCAGAGTGCCAAATGATATTATTGATATTAGCGCACACTGAAGGATTCACAAGAACTTATTCACCTTACTCTCTTTAAAAATGTTTGGAAGGTGGAAAACACCTCTGAACCATGATCTTTCATGTTTGGCACACCACCTATTACACAGTCATTCAACACCTCCTTAACATGAAGTACAGTACAGTTTGAGGCTTACTGGGGTTATGCGTTGGTGAAGGCTGACCCACGTATGAGGGTTTCGAGCCATGTCCTGGGGTAGGATGGGTCTGAGGATAGTTCACATTGATTCCTGTTGTTTCCTCATAAGAAGGAGGTACAGATGGGACAGGGACGCCACTTGGTGCAGACATTGTACCTAAAACATAAGAGAGAAAGTTGTAACAGAAGACATTATTTATTGAGGGCAAGAGACAATTAATTAGGCTGTATTCAGACAGAAAGCAAGAAGATAGCTAGATTAAAATGCACCTCTACCAGCGTAAAACATACTGACTGTTACTTCTTTCTGATAATGTTAAATTTGATATCATTGTTGTTGCTTCCTTCCCTTTTCCAAGTAGTTTTTACACTTTCTCCCCACTACTAGTTCTTCCTTTGTAAATTAAAAATGCTATCTGGCAGTTTCTCCTAATTCTCCAAGAACATTATTTTAGATCCCTCTTGTCCTATCGGGGGGAAAAAAAAAATATATATAAAAAAAAAAAAAATCAAGCAGTATGATAGGCCACACGGTAGCTACTAACTAACGTGAGCCTGGTTTGTGGTGAAGCTCAAATATTTAGGAGACTATCTCTGCTGTAATTTGAGGTAATAATAATAATAAAAAGTTATATTGAAGGCAAAAGAAACCCTATAGCATTAGTAGAAATGAGTAAGAGAAATTGCAAATATGAGGGGGAAGAAAGAAAACAAAGCATGTTAAGAAATAAAAATACCCATAACAATATACGATGTCATTGGTATCACAGAAACATGGTGGGATGATTCCTGTGGCTGAGTGTTGGAATGGAAGGTTACCGGCTCTTTAGGAAAGACAGGCCTGGCAGATGGGGAGGGGGAGTCGCTATTTACGTCAGTGATAAGCTGGAGAATATGGAACTCTGTCTGGGGGTAGGTGATGAGTCAACAGAGAGCTTGTGGGTCAGGGTCAAAGGGAGAAAAGCAATAGTGGACATTACTGTGGGGATCTGCTGCAGGCCACCTGACCAGGAGGACTCTGTGGACAAAGCACTCTACAGACAGATAGGAGCAGCCTCATGTTTGCAGGCCCTTGTCCTCATGGCAGACTTCAACCATCCCGATATCTGTTGGACGGACGGGACAGCCCGGCACAAGCAATCCAGGAGGTTCCTTGATTGTGTGGAAGACAACTTCCTCTTGCAAGTAATAGAGGAGCCGACAAGGAGAGGTGCCATACTTGACCTCGTGCTCACCAACAGGGAGGGGCTGGTTGGAAATGTGATACTCCAGGGCAGCCTCGACTGTAGCGACCATGAGATGGTCGAATTTGAGATCCTCAGGGCAGTGAGAAGAGCACGCAGCAAGCTCACTACCCTGGTCTGCAAGAGAGCAGACTTTG